GAAAAAATTGAGGGTACTGACATTGTAATAATCTTCGATGGAAACAGTCATCAGAAGCTAGGCTAAATTTAAATCATAGGATCACAATTGTCAATAGTGCAGAAGCAGGCCAGTTTTTCGTTTATTTCTGCATTGCAAATGGTGAGCCATAGATTTAAGACATAACTAGAAATACATCGAACAACTCTTTCACTGAGTTGCAGCAAGACTTTGGTTTTCAGATTTGCAAAATTCAGCAAAATATTAATTATTGCATATTTTAAATTGGCTTGCTACTTTATCTACATTATATTATGTATATTTATTATGTCACTTGTGTTAACCATCTTTATTTTACCATACTCATTTTTTAAAAATTCCAAACAATTGCATAGAGATTTCCTATTCAAATACAAAGAACATGTATTCTCCGTGAACGTATTGTAAGAAGTATGAGCAGGAATGGATTATAAGGCCTGTTAAGCCTGCCCCGTTATTCAGTACAATCCTGGTTGATCGTCAGCATGAATTCCACTTCCTTTGATTCCACGAGAGAATAAAAATCTACCTATCTCGTCCTTAAATACAATGACGATGAAACCTCCACAACTATGAGATAGAGAATTCCAAAGAATCACATCCCTTTGAGTTTAGAAATTTTATTTAAAAATCTCAGTTCTTAATTATTGTCGTCTTATCCTGAGACTGTGCCCCAGTGACTCTTCAGCCAAGAGAGCAATTTCACAGTGTCAAGCCCCTTCAGAATCTTGTATTTTTCAAAGAGATCCCCTCCCTCATCTAAACTTGGCATGGTACCAGCACAATTCATTGTGATCAGGAAGCAGTCTGATTGGGAAACAACGAATCTAATGAAGCTTTGATACATTGCGTTCGAATACAAGTATAAGCTTCCTTAAGTATGGAGGCTAAAACTGCACACAGTATTCCAAGGGTGGCCTTGCAAAAGCCTTGTACAATCCCAGCAGGACTTCCTTATTACTAATCTTCAGTCTCCTGACACTAAAGGCCAACATGCCAAATGCTTTCATAATTGCTCACTGTGCCAGTGTGGTAACCAGATATATTTGTACAAATACACCCAAGTCTCTATGAACATCAACATTTACAAGTTTCCTGTTTTTAAAAAATGCTGATTCTCTATTCTTACTATCAAAGTGAATAAGATCGTGCCTCCCACAAAATAACCTGTCTGCTCTCATGTAGCTCACTCAATCTGTAAAAATACTTTCTGCAACATGTTTGTGTCCTCCTCACAGACTATATTACCACCAAGCTTTGTATTGTCAATAATCATAACTACATTACTATTAGTCTGTAAGGCTAATTCATTAACATTGGGTGTAAGTACAGTAGCTGTGGTTCTAGACATAACCTGCCAATGTAAAAATGTCCCATTTTTCCCTGCTCAGCTCCCTGTTCATTAACAAATCCCCTGTGCATGTTTAATGTAATTCCCTCCAATTCAGTGAGTCCTTGTGTAGCATCTTTTGGAAATTCAACTACGTTTACTGATTCCCTTTGTCTGCTGTCCTGCTTGCATTCTAAAGAAATTCTAGTAAATTTGACAAACGTGATTTCTATAAAACCATGTTGATTTTGATTGTAATGTGATTTTTTAAAATAAGAAATTCCAGAATTTCCCAGATGATTGATGTTAGTAACTGGCCTGTACAGTTCCCTGTTCTGTTTTTTTTCTCATACCTTGGATAAAGAAATTACACTTGCTAACTTCCAATCTGCTGGGACCGTTCTAGAATTTAGGTAATTATGCAAAATCATGAGCACTGCATCCAGTACTAATTTATAATGTTTGTATTTAAATTATTTGTTACATGATTTAATGTTATTAATTTATTTTAGAATATTTATAACAACAAATGGGACTTTATTTTTCCTCTTCTTTTTCTCACCACCCTTTGTCTCCTTCTTCACTACTGAAACATCAGCATGCTGCAAACTGCATTCCAAAATCAGAACTAAATGGGATTGTTTCTTTGCCCATTGTCAACACACAGTTACAACAATCCTAAGTCAAAAGCCCATCCAATCCGTTTTCCATGTTTAGAACCACTGAAGTCAAATTTAACACTATTGCCACTCCAGCTGAGATCAAATTTTCAGGAAATAAACTCTCTCACATAAAGTAACACAATACTATCATACCACTCAAACTTTTATAGCCTTCATTTCACTACTAATGAAAAAAATGAAAAACATTGCATTATTGAATATTATTTTTGCTTATAGTATAGATTGAGTTCTGACCATGCTGGGCACTGAATAGTATGTGAACTAAAACAGGAAGTGCAAACAGCAGAGTTTAAGCAAATGATTTAATAATATTTAGCAAGTGCCAAATTGTCATTCATAGAGCCACCCTCTGGTCTAACTTGTCCATGCCGACCAGATATCTTAAATAAATCTACTCCCATTTGGTCCATATCCGTTTAAACCTTTGCTATTCATATACCCATCCAGATGCCTTTTAAATGTTGTAATTGTACCAACTTCCACCATGTCCTGTGGCAGCTCATTCCGTAAACGCACCACCCTCTGTGAAAATATTGCCCCTTAGGTCCCTTTTTAAATATTTCCTCTCTCACCTTAAATGTACACCGTCTAGTTTTGAACTCCCCCACCCTGGGAAAAAGACCTTTTTTTGTTTACCCTATCCATGCCCGTCATGTTTTTATAAACCTCTATAACGTCACCCCTCAGCCTCTGACACTCCAGGGAAAATAGCCCCAGTCCATTCAGCCTCTCCCTCTTGCTCAAAATTTCCTTGTAATTTCCCGGCAATCTCCTTGTAAATCTTTTCTGAACCCTTTCAAGCTTCACAACGTCCTTCCTTTAAGAGAAAGATCAGAATTGCATGCAGTATTCCAATAGTGGCCTAACCAATGTCCTGTACAGCTGCAACATGACCTCCCAACTCCTATAATCAATGATTATAGGAACTGCAGATGCTGGAGAATCCGAGACAACAAGGTGCAGAGCTGGATGAACACAGCAGGCTAAGCAGCATCATAGGAGCAGAAAGGCTGACGTTTCGGGCCTAGACCCTTCTTCAGAACAGGTTAGGGAGGCGGGGACGAGCTGGACTGGTTTTGGGATGCGGTAGGGGGAGGGGAGATTTTGAAGCTTGTGAAATCCACATTGATACCATTGGGCTGCAGGGTTCCCAAGCAGAATGTGAGTTCCTGTTTCTGCAACCTTCGGGTGGCATCGTTGTGGCACTGCAGGAGGCCCAGGATGGACATGTCGTCTGAGGAATGGGAGGGGGAGTTGAAATGGTTTGCGACTGGGAGGTGCAGTTGTTTATTGCGAACTGAGCGTAGGTGTTCTGCAAAGGGGTCCCCGAGCCTCCGCTTGGTTTCCCCGATGTAGAGGAGACCACAACGGGTACAGCGGATGCAGTATACCACATTGGCAGATGTGCAGGTGAACATCTGCTTGATGTGGAAAGTCTTCTTGGGGCCTGGGATGGGGGTGAGGGAGGAGGTATGGGGGCAGGTGTAGCACTTCCTGCGGTTGCAGGGAAAAGTGCTGGGTGTGGTGGGACTGGAGGGGAGTGAGGAGCGGACAAGGGAGTCACGGAGAGAGTGGTCCCTCCGGAAAGCAGATAAGGGTGGGGAGGGAAAGATGTCTTTGGTGGTGGGGTCGCATTGCAGATGGCGCAAGTGTCGGAGGATGATGCGTTGGATCCGGAGGTTGTGGGGTGGTACGTGAAGACGAGGGGTATTCTTTTTTGGTTCTTATTGCGTGGACGGGGTGTGAGGGATGAGTTGCGGGAATGCGGGACACACGGTTGAAGGCGTTCTCGACCACTGAGCGGGGGGGGATGTTACGGTCCTTGAAAAACGAGGACAACTGAGATGTACGGGAGTGGAATGCCTCATCCTGGGAGCAGATGCGGCGGAGGCGAAGGAATTGGGAATAGGGGATGGCAGTTTTGCAGGAAGGTGGGTGGGAGGAGGTGTATTCTAGGTAGCTGTGGGAGTCGGTGGGCTTGAAATGGATATCAGTTTCTCGGTGGTTGCCCGAGATGGAGACAGAGAGGTCACACTGACCAATAAAGGCAAGCATACCAAACACCTACACTATGTACCTATCTAGCCTATCAACCTGCAACTCCACTTTCAAGGAACTATGCACCTGCACACCTAGGTCTTTTTGTTCAGCAACACTCCCCAGGACCTTACCGTTAAGTGTATAAGTCTTAAATTGATTTGCCTTTCCAATATGTAGTACCTCACATTTATCTAAATTAAACTCCGTCTGCCCATTTTAAACCATAAATTACAACCCTCTCTCCCAGAATTGTTAACTTTTAGCTTCTTTTCAGAAGTTAACCAGAGGAACCCTCACTCTTCCAAGAAACTCAGAAGTGGGTCATCTGTTATTCAATGCCTTAACTTCTAATAGTGACCTTGAAAATAACATAAGTTAGTTTTAACTATAGTTAATTCCAAGGTTGTTTGAATTGCACTTATTTTCCAGGTTTGTTTGAATTGTGCTTATTTTGGGGTTTCTTATCAATTTCTTAACCAGGTGCCCCAGTTTATCTACATTTATCTTTCAATTTTAGGAGTTAAAGTTTTATATTCTGAAATAGTCTGAATCATCACCTAGATATTCATAATATTCCTGTTTTTTCTCTTCACAACATTTCGTTTTACCATAAATTAAAGGAAATATTTCAAAACATAACCATCCTATAAAGTTTCATATTCATAACATTATTAATATAGAATAGAATTTTGGTAATCAAATAAATTTGCTGTATTGTCAGTGCATTACTTCGAGCACAACAGCACATTAATTGGTGTGGACCATTCATCTTGGTGAAAACAAGAAATAAGTGCAAGGGAAGCCAAAGTTTATATTGAGCTGTCAATATTGAACTGCATAGTGGTGTCATCATTAGTAATGATGGAAATATTGATTTTTTTTTTTTTTTTAACTGTTCTTCATGAAGTCACTGATGTGGACAGAGTGAAAGAGACTTGTAAAGAAATCTTCAGCAGTGATATAGGTAGGACTCGTAATAGAATAGAATGATGAACGTGCAACGATGACCTACGTAGTATGGTATTGCTGTTACTATAAACAGCAAGGATGAACAAAAACTTGAAAGGATAGTTTGAAATCTGTTGAAAATTGGGACTAGTTTATTTCCAAGTTATTGGGAATAGCATAAGAATTCACCATTTGGAAAAGCAACAAGTGAATTAATCCGTGGTTAAAAAAGGATGACAAAAGACAGGCATTCCCACTGTACAATAAGTAAAATTGAAGAGTCAGCCATTCAGGGCTTTGGTATATTCCAAACAATTAGTGTGAAAGAATTAAAGATACAGATCCTACTCCAAGTTAGAAAGGGAAAAAAAAAACAAAATCTGTCTCTTATTCTGTCATATTGTTCTATTTTAATGTGCTATATTAATTGTCTATGTTTATTTAGATTGAGAATTTCTGCCCTATGCTTCCAGTAAGAATAAATGACGTTGCTAATAATGATGCCTTAAAACCCAAGGTGAGAAAGCTGAATCATTAGTATATTTTCAGTGTTTTTTTTAAATAAAGTATTGGAAGCACTAGTTTTTTGTAAGTATAATTCAAATATACATATTTTGAAAGCATATTACACAGTTCACAAGATATTTTTATGCTTTCCATCAGTCATTCTATAAATACAATAAATGCATCTTGAATTTTTTTTATGCTTGTCAGTGATGTTTGTTAATGTGGAATTGGGAAACTCAAACCATTTTTTTTTACAGGCCTCACTCCAAACTCTGTTCCCTCCCAACACTATACCTGTCCTTGATAAGAGACTGAAATTATGCTGGACGTGAACTTTTGCCATATTGGAGAGCTCTCCATCATAGCAAAGATAGCAAAATTGCTGAAAAATAGATGTCCTGCCACCACCTGATGAAGGTTCATCTTGATACGAAACATTGGCTTGAGCTTTCTCCACGGATGCTGCCTGACCTTCTGTGATTTTGAGCATTTTTTTGATCTTCAGTACAGATTCTAGCATCTGCAGTAATTTACGCCTCCTGAATTATTTCTGATATTATTTTTAAGTAGTTTCTTAAGTGCCCATAACCACGTCGAATATCTTCTACCCAACTAACAAGTACCAAAATACTAATAAGCTTAGTCTTCTTACTCACTCACCTAGTTGCAGAGAAGCATGCACACTTAACATGGCTGTTCACTGTATTTAAAGACTTTTGCAGAGACAAGTCTGGCTGCTGCACCCTAGTTCTACATAACGTGGATGCAGGAGAGGCCTCTCCCATAACGCAAAATCCATATTGGTAGTCCCAGGAAAGCTGGCCCAAGTTCAGGAGTGATTAATTATGTGCTGGAATACCAACTAACAGAGCCGAGCAATGGAAGTTGCAGCTATTTGTGCATGTGCCCAAGTTGGACAGTTTCACAAGGCACTGGATGGACGACGAATAAATGACCAGAATTGACTCCTACCTGATACTCCGACTGGAAGATTGCAAGGATAGGGTCAGTAAAGTCACCTACGTTAACAAGATAGATTTACTCGGGGAAACTGGCAGGATCCCTTGATTGCCCATCCAAAGGAAATTTCTGCCTTCATAACTCCAAACAATTTATGCCAGTGTTTAGTCATGCTGTTGGGACTCTGAAATGCTCAAGCTGCCTTTTGAAAGCCAATGAACCAGATAGTGACAGGTTTATCTAATTGTGTAGTGTACCTAGTTGACCTCCTAGTGTACAGCAATACACGGGAAACATACTTAGAACAACTGGAAGTCCTCTTCTAGATATACAGTCAGCTGACCTCATGGTCAGTCTCACAAGAGGGAGTTTAAGGCCCAAGTGACCTTTCTAGGGTACACAGTCACAGTAGGTCAAGGATGAGGACTGCCCAGGGTGACAAAGGTAGAAGTTGTATTACCATTCCCCATTCCTGCAACAAAAGAGGAAATTGACTTTGTTTTTTGGGAATGTGAGAGTTCTCGTGAGAAATTGTCAAACTTCAGAATAGTAGCTGTGCCGCTGACAAACCTGCTACAGTTAAAAGTAAAGATTGCATGAACTGAGAAATGTCAAACTGCTTTCAAAAGGCTGAGGGCCATTTTAACACACAAGGCTGTGCCTGAAGTTCCAAACTTTAAACAAGCTATCAATTTAATCAATATGAGTGACATTGGGATGGGGCTATTCTCCCTCAGAAAGACAAATCTGGAATGGAGAGACCAATTGAGCACTTTGCCAAAAAAAAAACAAACATCAGAGATAATATTCCACAGGAGAGAAGGTAACCCTTAGTTTATTACTGGCTCTCAAATACTGTAATATAAATATCAAAAATGGATACATAGAGATCACCATCTATACTGGCCACAAACCATTAACTTTGTCGAAAAGTTTAGGACCCAGAATGCCAAGTTATTCTGTTGTAGTTCATTCTTTCCAATCGTATCACCTCAAAATCACCCACTTTGCCAGGAAATCAAATGTGATTGCAGGTGCTTAATCCATAATTTAGAGACCCCATTAGAACTGAAAAGATAACCGTTGAGTTTATTCATACGACGTGGGCATTACTGGCCAGGTCATCATTTATTCCCTATGCCTAATTGCCCCAGAGGGAAGTTACGAGTCAACGACAGTGCAGTGGGTCTGGAGTCACGTAGGCCAGACCAGATAAAGACGGCAGATTGCCTTTCCTAAAGGACGTTAGTGAACCAGATGGGTTTTTTTCAGACAATCAACAATGGATTCATGGTCACCATTTGACCCTTAATTCCAGACACTCATTGGATTAAATTTCTGCCATGGTGGGATTTGAACCTGTATCCACAGAACGTTACCTGGGTCTCTGAATTAATAGTCCAGTGACAATACCACTACGCCATCACTTCCCTGACTGTGTGCGCCTCCGGTGACTGCGACATTAGAAGATGAATGTGTGTGTTTGTTTACTTTTTTACATATTGAATTATTTTTCACCCTTTGTAATGTAACGACACTGAATATAATTTCATTTTGTCGTGCAGTGGAAATGTTATGACCACTGGTCAGAATTCTGAAGTACTGTGGATGATTTTTAACTTGTAATTCCAAAATGCTTCTTTAAATGAGGGCTTAGACAAGCAAATCGATTGAAGTTTTCTTGTGGGACTGCACATTCTCATGTGTAGCAGCCTAAATTCAAGCGTTAGCGTGCTTAAAAAACTCTGTCAAGGAACTGCTCCCTAGTCATTGCTGGATTGAAGATAAAGACCTTCTGTTACTTCTGAATGATTCAGGTCAGTTACACAAAAGAAAATAGGAAAACAAAATGAATCTCTCTTACCCTGAATGCTGGAATTTAGTGGCAGCTGAAAGGAATTGGAACTACAGAATTTCAACTAATCCGCAAAACTACGAATTAGGAAACTGGTCAACTGCCAACATCAAGGCCACTGGTAATCTCTACTACAATGGCAGCAATGTTCAACTATCCACTCTTCGTGAACTGACACTGATCTGTATAGCTTTTAACTTTTATCGTTTTAGTCTCCCCAGTTATTTCTGATCTTGTCTGTGTGCATTGCATTACTCATTGTTCTTGCTTTTAGTAATTAATTAAGTAGTTTAATGCTTTTAAAATGTGAGTTAATTGGGTCTGGGAGAAGGGAATCCACAAGGTTTTAAATTAACTTTCTAGTGTCTAACTGAGGGATCATGTGAATAAAGAAGAGCCAGTTCATCCATTTTTGCCTCGAAATTGCAGTATTCTGTCTGGACCAGTAACATAGTAGAGACCCTTCTTTGGGTATGGTCATAGCAGTGTTGTTTATTACAGTAATCACCAGTGCTGTATTTGGGAGAATATCTTTGAACCAAAATTTGCATCAGGAAACAACATTAATCTTGCAAAGAAAATTACGATACTTTATTATTCTTTTTCTTCCACTGTTAGATTATTTTCTGTTTGGTGTTCAGAATCATTATTATTCTATTATTGTTAGGCCAAGGTTGCAACTAGCCTGGATGGTTTGCTGGAAATGCTGGCTGAACGTGAAGAACTCACATGGATCAAGCTAAGAATAGAAAGAATGAAGGAGAACTGGATAAAGGATATGAAAGCATTGGCAAAGAAGCAGAATTTAGAAAATCGACCAAACAAAAAGGTATAACATTATAAATATGTTACCTCAAAATTTGTCTTTTTGTTTTTATAAAAACATTTCATTTCCCATGAGATAATTTGGTTAACATACAACTGCACTTGCGTATGCATCTAAAGATATGATTTTTATATAGTGAACAACTTTTTTAAGGGGTAAAAAGCATACATTTGAAGTGACTATACAGTTTCCATTAATACAGTTGTTTTCAAACATAGGAATATACAACAACTTGCATTTATGTAAAATGTAAATTCTAATGTGTGTGTATATGTAAATTTATATAAATGCCCACCTGGTGGACATGGAACAATGTACCAAAGTACTGAACAAAAATGAGTAATGCAAGACAGAATTTAATTAAAGGAGAAGATGAACGTGGAGAGCAGCTGTTGTTCAGGGAGGGAAATCAAATGTGGCTGTTGATGGAGAAATTGGGTGAAGATGCTAGAGGTATGGAGATTTTGGAGAGAGTGAGGTTGAAGCTTTTGAAGGAGGTTACAGAGATGGGACATATGTGGTTATGCATAGTTCAAACACAAAAAGAAAAGCTTTAGATTTTAGTTGTTGTGAGGTCAAGACCTAGTAAATGTCAGTGAGGCTAGAAATAAAGCGAGACTAGTGTGGGATAAATGACCAAAGATAGTTTTATCCTTTGCCATTCTTGAATAGGATAGAGACCTTGGAAAGATAATATCACAATTTAATAGCATTCCATTTTTGTAATTTGTACTTGGTAAGCCCCTGTGGGTATTCAGTGGTGGTAACTCCCATTTAAGGATTTGCTGTATGCCCTGAGGTAGAGTTTCCACTGGATATAGTACGGTGTTTTTCGATACAAACCCCTCCTTTTGTGGCAGTATTCAATCTTCTATCATTTGATAATGATGAATACAGCAATGGAGAACATTTTACATGTTGTGGAGTTATTAGAACCAGAGAATTAATTGCTGGCCTTTGCACCAGACAAAACCATGAAAACCATTGCTGCACTTACTTAATGGATCTTCTTCATGATCTATGTCATTGACAAGTTTTTGAGCTCTATGAATATGCTGTATGCCTAAACTTTACTATTATTCAGCATTTGAACAACAGCTCTAGGTTGCGGGCCTTCCGAATATTTCCCAGTGAAATACTGGAAAGGCAAAAGCTTTGGTCCCTATCAAAAACTTTGTTCCTGAGCCAGAAGGTCTATCATCCTGAAGAGCCATATCAGACTCAAAACATTAATGCTGTTTCTTTCTCCATAGATCTGAATTTCTCCAGCATTTTGTGTTTGTTTCAGATTTCCAGCATCCACAGTATTTTGATTTAAACTCTTATCATCCTGTCTGACAGCTGTGCGGCTGAATAAAAATAACTTTCACAGTCTTGGTGCTGGACCTTGGGATGAACTTTGACCACATTTGTGCCATCACTAAGACCATCTTTTTCCACCTCTACACTGCTCAATTCCACCTCTGTCTCAGTTCATCTGTTGCTGAAATGTTCATCCAAACATTTTTCACATCCAGACCAACATAATCCTGACCAGTCTACCATACTGTATCATCTATAAACATGAAGTTGTTCAAAATTCTACTGCTTATGTCCGAATTCACACCTAGTCATGGTCACCAATCATCATGATTTGGGCCACTCGTTAAGCAAGAGCTTGATTTTAAAATTTGAATCTATTTTAAAATCCTTCTATGCCTTACCTTCCTTATCCATGTCATCTCCTTCACCCCTACAAACCAAGAGATTGAATCATATTCTTGCCTTTGAGCCTTTGTGATTTTACTTGCTCCAACCATACTTCAGCTGCCAATGCCCTAAGCTTTGGAACTCCCTTCTTAAACCTCTTCTTCTCTTTCCTACTTTAAGACCCTTCTTCAAATCTCCACCATTACTTCCTATGCAATTTCTTACCAATTTTTGTTTGATGGGTTTTCCTATGGAGTAATTTGAAACCTTTTATTGCATTAGACATGCTGTATAATTACAAACTGTTAGTGTTCAGAACACTATGTTATGTCCATTTTAACCATTGTTCCCCAGTCACGGTTGTAAATATTTTGCCCTTAGACCTGGTACAGCTAAGTACCACAAATGCCAATTAAAGATGACTTATTATATATTTAAATATTTTGTGTTACAATAAGCTTGGTATTGTAATTTTGCTCGTAATGTGTAGTTAGTGCAGGTATTTTTACTAGTTAGCATTTATGCAAATGTGTCAGAGAGGTCGACCAGCAGTAATGAACACACATCGCATCGCTAAAAGGAGACTTGTACTGAAATAGACCAGATTTAGCCTCTCTGGCAAGTTGACTTGATATCTAATGTCTGTAAGCTTTAGACCATTCAAAGCATTGGTATGATGAGGAATATAGCAAACTGTCAGTTTGCATATATGATAGTGGGGTTGAGTAGAGTGGCGAAACTCAGACTGCAACTTTTGGAGTTCCAAATTTGACCACACTGCTGCCTCGAACTAAAGTTGCGATAGAGTTCCTGTATGAATAACAGTGATCAACATTAATCTTATTTTTACAGCAATTTATAAGGTCATTGCCACCAATATCTCAAAACAAGCTTAAAAATCTGAACATATAATATGTTTTTGAATGCAGAAAGCATCAGAGTTCCTTAGCTGGTACAATAAATGTGAGCAAGAGTATTGAAGGTGAAACAACACTTACCTCTTCATCTTAACGCTCCAGGGGAAAAAAAAATCAAATTTTAAGTAGTGAAATCATTTCAGTTGCAGCAAGAACTCTCCAAATTGAACAATCCTGGGAAAGTCAGGAGTTGGCAGATTGTAAACTGAAAATGTTATGCCATTCAACTTTCCTACCGTCTTGAGTTCCAGGATCCTCTTGGTATCCTGTCTCTAGGTTGGATGGATCATCCCTCAGCAATCTCTATCCACCTACCTGTTTGGTTAATAAGATAATCATCATTCCCCCACTTGTGCGAGAGCTCACCTCACTGCAGCCCCTCAGATCCCCCAGCAGAACCTCATGGTAAGAGAAACCCCCAAGGAACACCATGTTTCTATATTTGCTGCAGTATCAAACATCCAAGAGCTGGTGAGTTTGTGAAACACAAGTTGCAGTTCCTTTTAAATTGGAATCCTTTCTCGACCGGAAACGAAATTTCCCGCTTGCTTCCTTAATTTACCTCAGAAACCAGGGCATTTTAATGCTGTGGCTCAGAGGAAAATGTTTTGGCTAAGCTTGTCAATTACTAAATCTGTTTCCTAACCCACAAATTTTCTTGCCTTTTCTGCAGGAGCTGAAATCACAATATTCTGCCCAATGATTATGCCTCCACCCTGTTGGAGAGGAACAGTCACAATGAACAACAAAACTATTGTACTAAGAGACATAAAATATTTTTCCTCTAAAACTCTATATCTTAGGATATAATTCCAATGCTGGTAGCAAAGTGCCATTAGCTTGCCCAACTACTCCTCTTGCTTGGGCCTAAACAGTATCAGCAGACCCTTCAACCAAATGGTGCTTTCTGTTCTATCTCAATTGTGTCGTCATCTAGTATTGGCCACATACAAAAATTTGCATGTTTTATAACAGAAGCCACTGTTTGGTAACCAGAAGCAAGTAGTAAATGGTCCCTTTTTGTCAAACAGGAGCTTTCTTGCCTATATATTTGCGTACATTACCTGTGCTTTTACAGTGAGCTGTTAGGGATGCTCCATTGAAGTCAAGTGTAAGCAAAATACAATAACAGATCTAATGCACTTTCATAAGGGTCACCAGACCCAAACATTAACTCTGATCTTTCTTCACAGATGTTGCCAGACCTGCTGAGCTTTTCCAGCAACTTCTGTTTTTGTCACAGAAATAAAAGCTAATTGCACCTTTCAAACTTTAAATTAGAGCATTAACAACCATGATGCTTTAAAATTTGATTTCGTATAAAATCATGAAAACAAGAACTAATCATTTCTCTTTATTGTCAGATTTTACTTCATTTAGGCCTTTTGACAAAGGAGTCAGGATTTAAGATAGCCGAGAATGTCTTCAAAGGAGGCCCACTTGGGGAATTGGTGCAGTGGAGTGACCTCATTGCCTCAGTGTATTTATTAGGTCACAACTTGATGCTTTCTACATCAGTAAATGAGTTAAAAGGGTAAGCTATGCTGAACAAGACACAAGTCTCCTAAAAATATGTGGCAAAAAATAACACACAGAGCTGAATAAAAGAATTGTCTATATGCTGACATGTTTCAGCTGGGTACAGTCCCTACTTAAAATTATCTTGCTGTGAATAATGATGTAATGAACGCTAACACTGAAAACTAAAGTAGAAACTATTTCTTTATATAAATGCAAAAACAAATGTGGGACTAAATGTAGAATATAACCGAATTTAGATCACAAGATATAGAAACAGAATTAGGCCATTCGGTCCATCAAGTCTGCTCTGCCAATTGATCATGGCTGATTTGTTTCTCAGCCCCATTCTCCTGCCTTCTCCCCATAACCCTTGATTCCCTTACCAAACAAGAACCTCTTAAATACACTCAAATGACTTGGCCTCCATAGGCCTCTGTGGCAATGAGTTCCACAGATTAACCACCCTCTGGCTGAAGAAATTCCTCCTCCTCTCAGTTCGAAAGTGTTGTCCCTTCACTCTGAGGCTGTCACACAAACCTAGTATGTTTACTGATGGAATGTGTAAATGTATAATATACATACTGATACTGTATGTTATTTTTTTGGATGGATAAAGTGGCATTAAGAAGCAGTTGAGTGCATGGTTCACAGTGTGAGGCTATATGCACTGACAACATCTCCTCTGGCATTGCAGACTCATGCCTCGGAGCAAACTGCTTCCAGAACCAGTTGTTGCAGGACAGCTATTACACTGGCTCCTTCCTGACAACAGAAAGTTGTTCAGTTGTGTCCTATCCACAAAAATAATCTAATCTAATCTAACCAATTATCACTGAAATGCTTTCTGATGACTGTCATGAACTTACAGCAATATAAATGTAGCAGCAGATGGTAGACAACTGAGGTGTAGAAAGTAATGCAACATTTATGACTGACACGTTAAATAGATTTTTTTATGGAAAGGTATGTGGCTTTACTGTTTACCTCCCACATATTGAAGAGAAAATGTTTATTTTTCCTCAAATTCTCTTTCTCTTAATCACTTTAGTCATAAAACACATTTTGCCCTCTCTAAAGTTTGTTTAAGATGCATTTTATCGCAACTCTCCTTCAAAATTCTTTTATTAATTTACATAACCGTATTTTTAAGAATACTTGTCTTGCTGTATGTTATTCCTCCAATGTGTTATGAAGTTGATGATGGGAAACAGTTTCAACCCAGTGGACTCCTTGGGATGGATTTTACATAATAAAATATGGTCAGTGGTTTGTCCACTGCCTGCCCATCCAGTCCTGACCATGTCCCCAGAATAAGCAACCCTCCTGCCCTTTTGAAAAATGTAATTAACAATGAATTGAACTTGTCAGCAAACCAACTGTTCCAAGTATTACTCTGCTGACACATTGATACAGTTGGAAGGAAAGTTGGGTGTATCTTTTATGGGGTGCTGTGTGGCGTTGGGAGCAAGCACTAAGATGATACAACACCTCCTCTTTGAGGCCCTGCTTGAGCTCCCAATCCATTTCCCCTCCAGTTCCTTAATGTCTGTCCTGATGCCTTTCCTGCCCTGAAAGCCCAGTGCTTAATGTTAATTTGAGGTCCATTGCTGTATTCCTTGCAGTCCCTGCACTGCTCAGTACCGGGTTCTGGTACTGCTGGAGCAGCTAGCTAATCTGATTGGCAGGTAGTTATCAAGGGCAGCAATTCCTCTCTCTGACAGGGAAGTACCTCTTTCTGCTCATTAAGGCCACACACAGTGTGTAACCACTATGGGATGCCTTTTTTTAAAAGTTGGTCACTTTGAAACAACCTTTTGTAATGGTAAATGAGGGAGAAATGAGCAATATGCATTCCTCCCTCCCCCACCTTAAAATTCAGCCACTCAAGTTTTGTATTTCATTACATATGTACGGTAAAGGCTGAGCTCTTCATAGTTTGGGTAACGCCCTGCAATCTTCTTGCATGTTTCCTAGAAGTTAGTTTGATGGAGAAGTGGCAAAAACCTGTTAACAGGTTAACTAACAAATCAGATTGATTAACTAGCATAGGAACAGGAGTAGATCATTCAGCCACTCGAGCCTGTTCCACCATTCTATGACATCATAGATGATTCATGGCCGAACTGTACATATCTGCCTTTGGCCCATATCCCATTTTGCTTTACAAACCTTTATCTATCTTAGACATAAAATTAACAACTGATGCACCATCCACTGCCATTTGTGGAACAGAATTCCAAACCTCTACCACCCTTTATGTAAAGAAGTGCTTCTGAACATCTTTCCTGGACAGTGTGGTCTTAATTCTGCTGGTCCTAATTCTCAGATTATGCCCGTTGTTCTAGAATCCCAAACCAGTGGAAATAGTGTATCTTTATCTTTGTCTTCCCTGTCTTTTCCTGTTAATACCTTGAAAACTTCAATCAGATAACCCCTTAACCTTCTAAATTCTAGAGGAAACAGACCTAATTTGTATAATCTTGCCTCATAACTTAAACCCTGAAGTCCAGATATGAGTTTCGTAACTTTGTTGTAATTCCTCCAAGACTAATATATCTATCTTAAAGTGTGATGTCCAGATCTGCTCAGACTCTACGTAGAGTCTAAGCAGGGTTTTATTTTCATAACTGTAGCATAACCTCTGCATCCCTATACTCCAGTCCTCTAGATTAAAAGGCCAGCACTCCATTAGCTTTCTCGATTATTTTCTGCAACTGTTCATGACATTTTAAAGATCTAAGTACCTGAACCCCCAAATCTGTTTGTACAGCTGCTGTTCTTAACAACATACCATCTACAAAGTCCCCTGATCTGTCCTCCTTTGGTCCAGAATGGATAACCTCACATTTACTTACATTGAACTGCTATAATTTTGCCCACTCACTTAATCTATCAATATTCCTTTGTAATTTTAATATGATCAAATACACTGTCTACGATGCTGCCTAACTTTGTGTCATCAGCAAATTTGGATATATGACTTTCGATGCCATTATCTAAGTCCTTACAAATAATGTGTATAATAGAAGCCCTAACACTGATCGTTGTGGGACACCACTGGTCACATCCTGCCAATTTGAGTACCTACCTGTTATCCCTACTTTCTGTCACCTGCCATGCAACCAATTCCCCACAAAATGGATTTTCACTTCATGGGCACATTGTCATAAAGACCAAAATTTAAAGTACCTTGGATAATAAAGGCATAGAACCTGCAAGTTAATTCAAATGGTTCGGTGTTTAACAGCTCCCATCTGCCAAATGTAACAGTACTTTTACTTAATTTGGATTAGTTACTTGAGCATCTTGACTGGAAATAAAGATGGATGTCCAATCAGGGGACCAAAGCTATTGGACCTAATATACATTGACATTGTTGGGTTAAAACAACTGCAAACTGTACTAGGAGGATCTTTCACCCACTATCGGTAAGACTATACCATCTTTATGCTTCTGTTAATTTCATGATAGAAAACAGCATATTCTATCTTTTGAGATATTAAGAACTGCAGATGCTGGAGCTGGAGGAACACAACAGGCCAGGCAGCATCAGAGGAGCAGGAAAGTTGTCATTTTGGGTCTGGACAAGGGTCTTCTTCAGAAGTGTCACAGGAACTGACACACTAACTCTGCTTTCTCTCCACAGATGCTGCCAGACCTGCTAAGTTTTTCCAGAAATTTGAGTTTGTTTGTTTCATAAAATAGTCTTGAAATACTGTTGATAGTATATACTGACCACACAGTTGATTGAATGGTGATAAGTGGTTCCAACAAAAATAAAGTGAAGAACTGAATTGAGCTTTCTTCTTTCAGTGTTTAGAATGAAATAATATTGAAGTCAAGAGTTTTGCAAAGTGCAACTAAAATATGCAGATAAAGGATAGTGATTTGTTCCAAAATCTGATGTATCCAATGGAAGAAATTTGGAACAGTTATTATTACAGCATTTTCAACAGTTACGTGAACGCTATGAGAATTTTAAATTGCTCCACATTCACACACATTTTTTGCAAGTTCAGAATTAAGTATTCAAAATTGATAAATCAGTCTTTTGAGGTATTGCATTTTGGTACAACAAACAAGGGTAGGGCTTAGACAATTAACGGTAGAGCCTTGGATAATATCGTAGAACAGAGGGACCTAGGGTGCGGGTATGCAATTCTTTGGAAGGTTGCGTCACATATAGACAGGATGATTAAAAAGGTATTCAGCATGCTTGCCTTCATTGCTCAGTCCTTTGAGTACAGGAGTTGGAAAGTCATGTTGAGGTTTTACAGAAAATCGGTGAGGCCTCTTCAGGAATACAGTGTTCAGTTCTAGTCGCCCAGTTATAGGAAGGATATTATCAAGCTGAAGAGGGTTCAGAAGAGATTTACCAGGATGTTGCTAGGTATGGAAAGTTTGAGTTATAAAGAAAGGCTGGACAGGCTGGCACTTATTTCACTGGAGTGTAGGAGGTTGAAAAGCGACCTGATAGAAGTTTATAAAATAACGAGAAATATAAATACAGTTAATGGTAGTTGTCGTTTCCCTAGGATGGGGATGGGGGATTTCAAGACTAGGGGGCATATTCTTAAGGTGAGAGGAGAGAGATTTTAAAAAAGACGAGCAAATCTTTTACACAGAGGGTGGTTCACGTGTGGAATGAATTTCCTGAGGAAGTGGTGGATGCGGGTGCAATTGCAATGTTTAAAAGACATTTGGATAGATACATGAATAGGAGAGGTTTAGAGTGATAGGGGCCAGGAGCAGGCAAGTGGGACTAGTTTAGTTTGGGATTATGTTCGGCATTGATTAGTTGAACTGAAGGGTCTGTTTACGTGCTGTCTGACTCTTAAAGAACACTCATTGTCTCCCTGATAATCTGGAAATTTTGATCATCATGCCACTATTTTTCATACTTCTTGCGTCCTTTCTTAGATGCTTGTTGAGGGTTCTTGATTCTTTTGGAACTGAACCGGAATTTAACCATGCTGAATATGCCAAGAGAAAGAACCATGGATCCCCCTGGGGCAAACTGAATCTAATTCCTAAGCAGTTTTACAACATGTTCCGTAAGTAAATACATGTAGAACTCATTCTAGGGCTTTGTATTTCAAATAAATTACTGAATGTCTTAGCATACACACATGTAGTATACCATAAATAATATGCAGCTCTAGATAGTTCTAATTTTTGCAATCTCTGCAAACATTTTTATGTAAAGCACGCTTTGTAGCACGTCGATTGCATATATTTTTTGTATGTAATTTGTTTGCTCAAACCCAAATCTAGATTTTAGATCAATTCAACATAAAATTTTACATGATAAAACCAAAAAAAATTTTAAATGTTGAGGTATTTTTTGAGTGTTTTTTAACTTCATTCCGGCGATGTAGGTTTTGCTGGTTGGGCGACGTATATTGCCACCCTCTGTCTTTGAGAAGGCAGTAGTGAGCTGCTTTCATGAACTGTTGCAATCTGTTTGATGTAGGTACACCTACAATGTTGTTAGGGAGGGAGTTCTCGGATTTTTGACTCAATGACAGTGCAGGAACAGCAATATATTTCCAATTCAGGATGATGAGTGACGGGGAAAGGAATTGTATCTGCTGCCGTTCTCCTTTTGAGATGATAGCACCTTCCAAAATCATGATGACTATCCAAAGAGCCTTGGTGAATTTGTGCACACTGCTGCTATTGTGTATGGCTGATGAAGGAAGTGAATGTTTCAGGACATGGGGCCAGTCAAGGAGACTGTGTTTTCCTGGATGGTGTCAAGATTCTTGTGTTGTTGGAGTTGCACATCCAGGCAAGTGGATAATATCCCGCCATACTCCTGAATTGTGCCTTTTAGGATGGTGGACAGGCTTTAGGGTGTCAAAGGTGAGTTTCCAGCTGGATTTCTAGCCTCTGACCCGCTCTTGTAGCTGCAGTGTTTATATGACCAGTCAAGTTTTGTTTCTGATCAAAATTAATTTCCAGCTAGTTGATAGTGAAGATTTATCAATGGTAATCCTATTCAATTTCAAGGGAAAGATGGCTAGATTCCCCCTTTTAGAGAAAAAGCTAATTTTGTTACTGCAGATAGATCCTTCTGTGACTTGTTTGAATATGAATGGCATTGAAATGAGCAAAGAGTTAGAGAGGAAATTCTGCAATATTGTTTTCCGGAACAGTTCCAAGTTAGCATAATGAATAACTTGAAGTGAAATTTGAGGTGATGGTCTTAATATTGGCTGTCATCCTTGTCCTTTTAAGTGATAGAGGTTGCAAATTTAGAAGGTGCTAAGAGCCTGTAATAAGAGTTGCTGTGGTGCACCTTGTAGATAGTACACTATGTTGCACCCACTCTGCATCACTTATGGTGGGACTGAATGTTTGGGGTGGTACGTAAAGTACAAATGGTGGGCTGCTTTGTATTGGAGTATCAAACTTCTTGGTTATTGGTGAAGCTGCACGTTTCCAATCAAATGAAGACTTCCATCACATTCCTGAGTGGTGCTGCGTTAATAATCTTCAGACCTTATTTTTGGCAGTGTGTTGTAGCTACAGTATTTAAATGAATAGTACAGTTCAATTTCTGGTCAGTGGTAATTCACAGGATGTTTTTGGTGGGATGGTAATACCATTGAATGATAAGATGAGATGGTTAAATCCCCTCTTGTTGGACACAGTCACTGTCTGTTACTTGTGTGGTCCATTCACATTTGCCCGAGTCTGAAATTTTTTGTAAACAAGCAGATATGGATTATTTCATTATCTGGGGAATTACGAATGGTATTGAGAATCTCCATTTTTGACTTGATAATGTTGAGAAGATCATTAGCAAAGCAGCTGGAAGTTGTTAGGGTTAGGACACTACCCTGAGGTACTAAGGGATCTTGTGATGCATTAATAGTGTCCCTGCCTCTGAGTCAGGAGGCCTAGATCCAAGTACTATCTGCTTCAGAGGTATGTTATAACAACTATGATCGGCTTGATTAGAAAATTCTTCACACTGAGTACATTTCTTCTGTACTCTTGTTACACTCCATGCTTCTTCCAAATGGTGCTCAAAGTGAAGGAGCATTGATTCCATCAGTCAAGGGTGGGTATGCTGATAATAGGTAGCTGTGTCCTTGCTCATGTTTCACCTGATGCCATGAGTTTCCATGAGCCAATGTTGAGAACTTCTGATGCCACTCCTCTGGTGGATCAATGCTGCCAGTGGGATACCCAGGGCTGGAGATGGAGGAATCTAGAATATTGGCTGTAAGGTGTGATTCAATGAACATGTCTATATCAGGCTATTGCTTGTTTATTGGACAGCATTCCCAAATTTAGTCCAAGTTCTCTGATACTGATGAGGGGGACTTTTCAGGATTGATTTGGTGGGTGTGACTTTGTAATTTATAATTCCTAAGTTGGTGCTAGGTGGTCTGTCCAGTTTTTTTTTATTCTTTTGACTTGAGTGTAGGAGTTTGATACAATTGAGTGGCTTGCAAGGCCATTTCAGAGGTCTGTTAGGAGTCAACCAATTTCTTTGTGTCTGGAGTCAAATGTAGGCCAGAAATAGTAAAGAAAGCAGATTTCCTTTTCTGAAGGACATTGGGACGTTAGAATATTTGGGACAAGCTTGGGCCAGAGTTGTTCTGAAACAAAGTTTAGTGGTAACTAAGGCAAGGATGAGGGTTTTGGCAACAGATGAATTGAGGTAAGGGAGAAGTCGGGTGATGTTGCAGAGGTGGAAACAGGCATAGGTATGTCATCATAAGTTCATCTTGGGTCAAGTACGACACCATACTGCTCCCACGCATCGTTTCTGTTTTAAAGTAAACATACTTAACTTTTATTCAGATAAAATATAAATTTTCAATTGTTCCTTAGCTTTTTTTCATTCATCCTGGGACATTAGATTAATGGCATATGGTGAGACTGCACAACTGAAATTCAGCTCGTTAAGTTGTAATAAAAAAAAATCAAAATCAAGCTTTTGGAAAATACCTCATTAGTAAAAAATTAATGTATTAAAAATTATTTTTATTGCATAATGAGAGTTTTGGTGCAGCAGTTTGTGAATTTTTTGTTTGTTTTAACATTTCAAGTTACTGAGCAAAAAGGATTAATGGGGTCAAAAATTCAGAAAATATTTTGACTAATTTTTGATAAAACAATATAAATGTGGACTTTGTCATTTATAATGGAAAAAGAATGTGACAAATGGAAGTACTTAAGATAAATAAATGAATGATATTTGTGAGCATGAATTTCATGATTTACACTAATAAACAGCAGCCCAACTCATTAAGCTTTTGTCACAAGCTAAATAAAAGCTAAGATAGCAAGTGATATCAATTTTACATGGTACATTTCCTTCAAACATGGACTTATCACAGCATATTGTCACTACTCAAGTAACCACATGATATCAGCTCATATCTTTACTGGCCTTGATAAATATTTGTTAATATAAGTTACCAGTTAATGCCTTCAGCATTGTTTAATTTACTGTATTTTCCAACATATTTGCAGCCCATACACCTGATAACAGTTTTTTGGGCTTTGTGGTGGAGGACCGTTTCAACAGTAATAATATTACACTCAATAAGATACCAAGAACTAATAAAGCTCTGATTTATGGTAAACTGGCAGGCTATTGGAAGGTATGTACTGTCTTCTTTTAGCCCTTAAACTGTTGATATTTCCATTGCTTTTTTAATTCTGGAAAATGTACTGCTTATTACAGGTGCTAAAATCTTTGGACTTGTACTTCCTTCTGAGCACTAGCAATGTTGTTACTACTAATGACTTATTCATAAATTATCAGTAAATTTTGTAATGCTTCTAGGATCCTGTTCTATATCATTCACAAATGGTGTGAAAGTAGTGAACTTGCTGTAGGTCTCTATGAATGACTTGATTTTTACCATACCAGAAACAGCATTTTCTATTTTTTCTGTTTCTAGCTTCTGTTGTAAGACAGATTTTTCAGCCGTTTGGAAAATCTGCAAGCTATTCGATCTCTCTGACCATTTCCTGCTAGTCATTTGAGTGAATGTTGTGAAATTGCTTTGATTGTACATACCTCTTATCCAGCAGCTACTTGCAAGAATTTTAGTATGTAGCCTTACATCTAACCATTTTCAGATGACTTTACTGTTTTTCTGAATGTATTATGTCTTTCTTGGAGGCTTAAGTACATCCTGTATAAAGTGACCTTTTTTGGAAAATTAAGCAGTTATAAAAATTTGAAGCCATTGCAAAAATGTCTTGAAATTATACATGCCTTTTTCTAAACATTTGCTGTAACTTAGTGAAGTTATATTAATGATATTTAATTGGAATGTTTTGTTTTAGAAGCTTTGGTTAGCCAAGGTGTGGAATGTCCTATTTCTAGTTATGCTTCCTGATTTTCACAGGACAAATCGTCTTTCCTGGATATTGTCAAAAATTATGCTGAGATCCATGGTACTTTTCATAATGAAAATCATGTCCTTTTACCTAATTTTATAATTAATCATGGGATCCTCAGTGGGCATGACCTTCATCTCTTGCTAAGAGAGACTAAGGTTTGTCAAATATTAACAATTTATGATCATTGGTTATCAATTTTATGGATATGTAGATATTTATGTAGTAGTTTTCTTTGGAACATTTAAGAAAAGACAAATGTACCTTTTCAATTAGAAATATTAATTCATCAAAGTCCAGCGGACTATTCTTTGGGCAAGAATTGTCCCAAGGTAGTCGAATAGAAATGAGATTGCAACTTATGCCTTATCAAATGGCAAGAAACATAAATAGCATACTTAAAATATGGATGAATCAAACTCTTTCCAAGCAAGAAAATGTAAGTTATATCTAACAGAAAAAGTTGCAAAGGGCTCAAACACTCCATACCAGTTATTTTATTAACCTTTGGATTCTTTTATGCGCATAAAGATACAAGGCAGGTAGAGCTCCAATTTAAATATGCAAATAATGCGTCCTCCAGAGGGATGTAATGGAAACTGTTTTGAAAGTATACACTCAATTAAATGTAGTTTTCTGCAGCTCAAAGAACCACCCCAGAAGTCTTTGGATCTTTGTCTATAATCAAACAATGCCCATCAACTGTGATCTTTAACAAGATAATCAACAAATCATTGACTTTAAAATATCTCTTCAATACATTACACTATACATCTCAATCAGTTGTTTTCCTTGGCATGGCATTTTCAGGACACTAGTATTTCAAGAAGTATACACATGTTATATATTTCCATGATTGTACACAGATCATGAGTGCAAAGTCTCGGTACATGAGATTTATTTTACCAGCTGAGGCTGTGGTGGGGTGGGCAGGTGTAGGGAAAAGAAGATGATTTTAATAGCCTAATATTTTCCCAGACATGACAGACACTCTTAAAGCTTAAGAAAGGAATCATTTTCTTAGCCATTAAAATAATTGAAAGTTTTTTGCCAGTAATCTGTATACAAATGCTATCATAAATTTTACCTTGCATTTAAAAAGTATGCACTATCTTCAAAAACTCGTTTGTTTCAAAACACTGAACTAATGTTAGTTGGCTCAAGCTGCAATGATGTAAATTGTACCAATGTTATAAGTGCAGAATTTTTGTTTTAAACATTGGTGTTTTTGTCATATAAATGTCACTTTTACATAACAACCAAGTGCTGGCAACACTTTTTTTCTTGAAAATTGTACACATTCCATCTATCAGGACCTAGTTTCATCTCCACAATTGACATTTTGCTGAGTTGGAGAATGGGAGCTCGTGACCCCATTGCTCATCCTGAGTCGCAAACCATGGTTTAGGAACCCTGAGCTATGAAATTGTAGATATTGAAGAAACAAAATATTTGCCCCTTCAAGATTATGCAAGTTTGAACACTGATGTCTGTTTGGTAATATTCTGGAGATACTAAAGTGCTAGTGATTGTAGACATTCCTCCTTCAAGGGACAGTCTCATTCATCTAGCCAAGATAAAAGTTGTAAAGTTAAGGTTGTTCCTTGATGTTTTGTTAATTCCCAAATGGTGATCAGTCTCATTGATTGCTGTCAAGCTTTTATGTTGTGTGGTCCATATGCAGTGACTGTACATTCAATAAAACTACTAATCAATGAGGCTGAGAAGAAGCAGAAATGAGTTTCACCTCAAATTCTTTCCCACCTGCACTCATAAGCCCACTCCCAACTGCGAGCACCACCGCCAGCATTAAAGCATCACTGCTTTCAGGTTGTGCTCATTCCATGCCCTAAGGAGACCAACATTTCTACTAAAGAACTTGTGTCAGTGCATGTTGTTTGGAAAATGTGTAAAAAAATTTTTCATATGATCAAAGTGATGAATAAAGTATTAATGTGTGAAATAATGGTTTCATCCTTTAGATTTTTGTAGGGCTAGGATTTCCCTATGAAGGCCCAGCACCTCTTGAAGCAATTGCAAATGGCTGCATATTTCTGAATCCAAAATTTAACCCTCCAAAGAGCAGGAAAAACACTAATTTCTTCCAAGGGAAACCAACATTCAGAGAGGTGTTGTATACAAGATATTCATCATTCAGTTTGAGTTGTAGAGTTGTTGAATTAACTTGCCATTTATAAATGTTATACTGCAATGAGAAAATGAGTTTCGTTAATTTCTTTCCTAAATAGGTAATGAAATACTGATTAGTATAATCTCCAAAGATATTGCATGGGGTAATCTATACAATTTGTTTTAGGACAAACCAGGTAGGGA